TGCCATCTTGCTTGCTACAAGAAGTATTTCCAGCATCTGAGTACAATAGACAAATTTAATTTTTCAGCATTAAGAGCTAAATTGCACTGAAGGGAGGAAAATAAACCAAAATATGCTGAGAAGAGAGAGAAGAGGAAAACCAAAAAGTGCATTGCAAGAAACTGGTATTTACTAGGAAGAGAACTATTTAACAGTAAGCAACTACTTCAAATAAGCCAATTTACACCAAACCAAAAGCATTATTTCTTCTCTGCAGAATAAAGCCTTGAAAGAAAAAGTTGATCCATGTGATTTTTATCATCTTCACCACATCTGTAAATGGAATTAAAAGACCTGTTATTTAGCTAGCGGCACCTTGGTTTTGATGTGAAATGTGCAGCTTCTTGGTGATTTCTCTGAGAACTCTGTGAAGTTCCTGAGGATAAAAGACATTACCTTCAGACTCATCATCATGAGTATAATTTTATCTGGGTGATCCTGCAATGCCAGAGCTTGTGATGTATGCTTAGCTTGGATACGGGTGAGATGTGCTCAGTGGGATCTTTGTACATCCTAGGCAATGCCAGAGCTTGTGATGTATGCTCAGCTTGGATAGTGGTGAGATGTGCTCAGTGGGATCTTTGTACATTTTTAGAGCACAGCATGCTAAATTAAGGATTTTTATGAAAACATAAAAGAGGTTATGAGGTTATTATTTTCAGTGTTTAAGAATACAGAAAACAACACAATGCTCACAGTATTTATTTTCCTAAGTTTCTAAAACCTGCTCACCAAAACTTATGTCTGACAGATTCAAAATATCACACTGGAACAAATATAATTGCTTTTTCCTTGCAGCAATTAAAATCTGAAAGAAATACACTTGTTTTTCTTACATTTGTTTTAAGACTATGTTTCTGACTAAGCTTTCTAACAAACAAGAAGACCTAAGTGGTAAATACACTTGGTTTTCTTACATGTGTTTTAAGACTATGTTTCTGACAAAGCTTTCTAACAAACAAGAAGACCTAAGTGGCTGGTAGAAAGTGCAGCAATCAAGGTCTTTGATGAACATATGAGCTGGAACAGGGAACAGGTTTCACAGCAGAAATTCCACGACCTATGGCAGGAGGAAAACAGAGGGGCCTGAGGCATTATGCATTATTCCCTTCATACAGCTGCAAGGCTCCTTTGTATTTGAGACAATCTGGAATTTATTTAAAAGCTAATTGGTACGTATACACCAGAAAAAATATTGTAAGCTCACAGAGGAAGGCTGAAAAGCTCCAGTTCTGACAAACAGTGGAGGTAAATCCCACCATCAACGTTTGATTCCACTACACAGGTAACTGCTAGTAAGTGACTGTCCTCAATATGCTTTGGGGTCCTTATTTGAAAGAGGTGAGGATACTGGCCTACATAAGCAAACATGTATTTAAGAGAAAATCTTCAAAAGCACTTAATCAGCACAGTAATGCAAGGGCTTAATTAAGCTCACAACTGCTAATGGATTTATAGTATCATTCATTCACAGTTACCTAAGCATGGCTTGCTTCCCGCTCAGCACTGGCACTAGCAAGTTACCCTTCAGAAAGGTTTGATTTTTTTCCCCCCTTTTCCTTACAGGTCTGATACTCAGCTAGAGCAGCAAGCTGATCTGGGGGGGCACAGGGTCCATGATCCCTACAGCAGGCATCAGAGAAGCACTGCCCATTTTGGCAGCACCACTATTAGGTGAGCCTAAACCAAAATGCATTTTCTGCTAGTGGCTGAGCACTTGCAGCTCTTGATACAAAATGCTCAAGCTGTGCCAAAGTTGATTAAAGCCATGAATTTATTCTAATAGCTTCTTTCAGGACAATCCTTACTGCCATAATGTATCATTGCACAGTAAAAATCTATCAAAATCTCTCTTCTGGGTAAGTAAACAGGTTCTGACAGGATACTCCTTCTTATAGATTGTCCACAGCCACGCACTTCAGAGCAAGAAAGGGACCGTTACCAATATCCTTGTCTAAATTTCTACATAATATATGCCAAAGAGACTCAATCCAACAATTTCTGCATCAGGCTTTTGTTCCAAGCTACAGTTAGAGCCGTAACAAACTCACATGGCAGGATTTCAAACAGGCCCCCTGCTCTCCTCTCTTGCAGGCAGCCAAGCTATTTGCAAACACTTTCACACATTCTCCTGCCTGTGAGAAACACAGGCCACAGCTCACCACAAGCAGAACGTGTGAAAATGCTTTTAAAAAGCCCAAGTGCTGGCCTGTTTTTCACAGACAAAGACTGAAAGTGCTTTTAAATACTCCCCTGCCTTCCACCCTGTAAACTCCCCTTTTTCGACAAGGGAGCTTTCCCCTTTCCGGGGTGAAATCATCACATGGGCCGTCTCTGCTGCCCCAGCAGGTAGGTGCTCAAGCACCACTCTTACAATACCCTCACTAAGGCTCTGGCCAAACCAAAGGCTCTGGATAAAAAAAACCCAACAAAACAAACCACCAAATAAACAAACAGAGCCATCCCCAACAGTGTAGACTTGTAAATTCTCAATATTTCAATGTATTTTTAAATATCAACATTATCCATAATTTGATTCTTAAGTAAAAAAGTTGGAAATTTAAAGGAATTATATTTTTTTTCATACAAGCAGTCAATTCAAATTAATTCCAATTAGGTGAATAAACAATACTCTGCTACAGCTAAAGCAGAAATTCCTCAGAAATAGGGGATTTAAAATTAAAGTGAAAGGTATGTAAGGTAAAAATGAAGACACAAATTTAATTGCAAACCATAGATAGAGAATATTTCCTTGAATAATGCTCAGATTTTAATCCATTATTTTCACTATATTGTTCAAAGTTTTCAAACAAGAATACCACTCAACATGGAAAATAAAATAAACATTTATTTTAAATTTCAAGGTTGCCTACCTGGGACTAAGATGCTGCAGTAATTGAATCTTTTTCCTTATTTGATCCCGATTTTGCTTCACACTCTTTGCAAGTATGATGACAATGCCTACAGTATTGAAAGCAGATAAAATATTCAAGAATTTTGCTGGATTTCTTCTAATACAACCATACTGCATGTTCTTGAAGAAGTTACCTCTTGCCTATGTTCTCCAATTGTTGTAAATACTTTATAGGTCATAAACTGCAAAAGATTACATTGGTCTCAACCAATAAAACCCCATTAATTATTATTCTTAGCTACCATTTCCAGAAATCACCAAAATATTATAGGATTTTCTAAGCAGGAAAAGACAGTTCTTGCCATTGTACTGTCACTGATGAGAAGACAAGAGCCAGGAGCAAAGCATGTAACACAAAAGAGTGACAAACAGCCACTTCGGGTAACACCATGTGAGGAAAGTAATAGCTTCGTTAAGTAGGGAAGAATGGAAGTGGAGAGACATATGAACAATGAAGAAGCTTCCCATTATCAGTCAGGCATTTTCATAGGCATAAAGACTCTTGTTGGTCTGGGGGAAAGATGTGGAAAGACAGAGGAGAATGATTTTGTGGGTATGATTTTTGGACATGTACTTTGCGTACGGAAGGTGTGCGTGAGAAGCCACACTGGGAATGAACAGTAGTAGTGGCAGTTGAAGGAGGAGCTTGGAAGGAAGTCAGAGTGTGATTTGACAGGGAAGTGTACTTCAGATAAGTTTAGAAAACAATGGAGGTGTGGAAAACAATGGACTAAAACATGGAGGTGACAAGTGACAGAAGGCAACCGCTGAGATCTATGGTATGGTTAGAGTTGCAAGGTGGAAAAATACCCTTGCAGTTTGTGCTCTTCATGGTTTGGTATGACAATATGCAGTTGGGCAAAACCACAGAGGAGGAGGCTGGAATGTGGGTTGAGACTGAAATTGTTGTTAAAATATGAAGATAGTGCAAAAAAAATCTGCAGTGTATTTGGCTGGATATGGTACAAAGGAGGACTCAAAGGGCCGACTAATATCATAGACATAGAAGATAGTGAGAGACTTAGAGGCACAATACTAGATGAAAAAAGAACTAGTAACTGTTGTTCCATCACACTTAAAAGTATGATAATTTCATTTAAATAATGAATAATAGTGAATTAATTTAATTTAAATAATAATAGATATTACACTGAGTTTAAGTTGCATTTTCTGAAGAATATTTACTGGTTTCTAATACTGTCATATACAGACTAAGAATATGAGAGTACTTCACAACCTGATCCCAAAATTTAAAAGTTTCTAATACTGTCATATACAGCCTAAGAATATGAGAGGAGTACTTCACAACCTGATCCCAAAATTTAAATTCATCGTTTTGCTGCGTATTATTTTAACTATTGTAAAGACTATTTTGATCTAGGATTAACGATTTAAATAGGCACAAACCTTTTTTGTTGTGGACCAAATGGTGCAACACCAATTTTCTGGAACTTTTTTTGGCATTCTCCTATGTATGACATCTTTCCAATGGCAAAACCTAAGACACCAGCAACTATAAAGACAAATGACAAAACATTGTTAATACAAGAGCTTAAATCAAGAGTCTGCAACTGGCTCCATTTTAATCATACGACAGATTGTATGTAGCATGTCTTCTCCAAACATGTCACAAACACATGGGAAGTTATGCAGGGATTACAGGGATGACTTCAATGACTACTGAAAACCAGCTACCTATCATGAGACAGAGGCTGGTCTAAAACAATGCATACAGGAAAAGGATATCATATTCAGATGGAACGAAAATATTTCAGATTTAGAGGAGCAGATTCTAGAGGGAGCCCACAACGAAAAGCTCTAATTTCTCTTGCCTTTGTATGCACACCATGTCATATTTCTAATTATTGCAATATTAACACTATCCTCTCTGGGCTTCTAAGAAGCTAGAACGTCAGCCTGCCATACCATCACACTAGGGCTTTCACTCGTTAGAGTCAGAATAAAAACATTAGTCCAACATTCTCAATTTTCTGTTGAACTTCTGCTGAAGAGGGAATCAACTTCATTTCTTGCCATTTAAGAGCCACCTGTCTGTACTGTGTTTTTATTTGGTTTATTTTTGTTTTGTTTTAAACTTCTGTGGTTTTATTTGTTTTCTTTATCAACATGGTCATGAATTAGACCATTAAGATCAATCAAATGAACATATGAAAAGGAACATAGCATGTTATGTATACTATGATGGCCCCTTGATACCATAAGATGTATGATTTGCTAAGCATGGCTGACCAATGGGGCTGACATTATTTATAAAATAAAGGTGAGACCCTTATTTCAAACATTTATTTTTAACACAGCAGAATGCTGATTTCCTAAAGCACTCTGGTAACATCTCATAAATGGCAAAAAAGGAAGTTTGAAAAGAGATTCGGAGAGATGCATCTAAGGTCTGAATATTGCCTGTATATAACCTTTCCTTTCCATTTACAATTGGGTACAACTTACTTGCCATCTTAGGTAATGCACCAAATCTTGGGCTCGCTGAGAAAACACCTACAATAAAAGCAAATAGTCAGAACACTTATTCATTTGAGGAACTCGCCAGCCAAAACCAAATGTAGTATTTTTCCTACAAGCTTTTGCACTTCTTAGGGCATCCATTTTGGTGTAGTCCTAGAGTCATAACAGGAAAAAAATCTGGACTTTGCAAGATTCAGTTCAGGCAGGGGTTTGGAGTGTAAATCAACATGAAAGCAGTGTGGCTGCCACTGGTCACACCTGCAGCACTGCAGGAGGTGGAGATGGTGGCTTAAGTTTCAGCACAAACCAACTTTGCAAATACAATAGTGAACTGAAACTCTTACTCAGGGTCCAGGTCCCTGTGCTGTGAGAAGCAGTCCCAACCTGTTCTGTAGTTTTCTGTGGCTGTTGATTAAACATGTGTTAAACTGTACCACTGGTATTTAGCTCCTCCCCTGGAGAGGTCACACATTTTGGTGTTTAACAGGAGAATACAGTGCACTGAACAAGAAAACTGAAAGATTCCCACCAAAATCTACCTTCCCCCACATAATACCAGGAGGTGGAACCAGTATGCCTCTGAGATCATACGTGTGTGGCAGAGGAGTGCTGTAGAAGAGGGCTCCACATAGCAAGATTGCCATGGCAAGGGGAAGGGAAGTGAACGCTGGTTGCACTGTTTCATGCATTCAGACAGCGTTAATGAGGCTCAGAAGCTCCAGCTTCTTCTAGAGCCAGTGTACTGTTTGCAGTCATCAGAGAGGAGTGTTTAGACAGAGGAGCCAGTGTACTGTTTGCAGTCATCTTCTAGAGCCAGTGTACTGTTTGCAGTCATCAGAGGAGTGTTTAGACAGAGGAGCATTCAGTCTATGCTAAGGACAAAGGCCTTCGCCCACTGGCATCTATGCAATTTTAAATTGGGTGTCTCAAGGGAGGGAGGAATAAAATTGTTTGTTTCAAACAGCTCCCCCTCTTCCAATTGCTGACACACAATAATGATTATTTAATATGGACATTTATTATTTCACAGCTGATAAGAAATGTGCGAGTACAATGGAGAGAAACTGGGAAGAGTAGCCAGTGCCAGAGGGTGGCATGTTAGCTACTGGGACAACCCCAGTGCCCTTCCTATCACTGCTCACCCTTTTCAAATGTGCAGTCCTTTGCCTTCCCTCCCTGTCTGCCTACAAGCTCATAGGTCAAGGATCCAACAGGGAACCCACATCAGCCTCTTGTGGTATAGCACAGCTTTTAGGTTTTCTACTCTTGTCCTCCCGATCATCTCAGTAAAAAAAAATGTGATAAGGATGAAACATGGTAATAGTAGCTGGCACAAAACAAGGGGCTTGCAACCACACCCAGTGAGAAAAGAGTGAGCCATTTCCATCTCCTCACTTGCTGCCTCCCACCACCCATCTCAGAGCCCCTGGATTCTTTTCTGCTTCTTGCTTCAGGTCCTGCGATTTTTTTCTTCTCCTATCTGCCCTTGATGTAACCAGCTGCTAATGCAGGCTGAAGGGCTGTCTTATTTGCTCCTGTGAGATACACCCATCTCAGCAGTCCTCAGGGTGGATGCCCTTCACCCTTTACCCAAAAAGCTAACCTCAGCCTTACTATTAAAGACCCCCAGAAGGGAAACCCAGGTTGCAATGTGTAGAACCAGGCTCATCCACCACATAAACAGAATACAATTCTCTTTTGTGTTAGCCTGCAGATCACAAGCCATCTCTATAAAAAGCTCTCTGTCTCCTCACTTTGGCAGTATTCCTTGTCCCTTTGCATCAAAGCTCTATTCATATTGATACATGGTCACTGTAAAAACATTGCCAGCATTTTTCAAATAAACCAATGGTTAGAACTACAGTACTCAAATCTGATGCCCCTGCTCAGGTTGTATGATGCTTTGCTCTACAAGCAGCCCCACTGAGGCCTCTGCTCAAATACATGTGATCATGGTGACAGAATCTAGCCACCAGTCTTTGAATTCATGCATTCTCTTTTTAGTTCATGTTCTTTCAAAAGAGTGACTGTGGCAATGCATATATAATGATCAAATCACTGTAACAATGATGGTGATGAGTGAGGGGAATATTCATCTTGAAAACCAGCAGGCTTTAAGGAAACTTGCATTTCAGTAGTAATTCCAGAGTCTCAACTTCATAACTTAGGAACATCATGTATTCTTTATATTTACCTTTTGAGACTAGCCCCTGGGTGACAAGCATGCTCCCAAGAGACAAAGGAAGAGCTGTAAAAATAAAAAGGAGGAGTGTATCTGGTATCAGCCAAACTTATTACCTATTTGTTAAATACATTATTCATGTTAAATGTTATATATGTATATATTAAATGTTTTATATGTTTGTATTGTTAAACACATTACTCATCTTCTAAACATCAACTTTGCATAGTGTCTTAATCACCTATTAGGTCTGCTCATTCAGATTACTATCTCTTCAAAGCAAGGATGTGTTCACGCAGTGCCAGATACCAGGCATGCTGCAGCATCTGGAGCTAATGCACTATATACATTTATTAATAAATATATATACATT